TTTACCAAATTTAAATAGGACTAAGAAAAGCTAATAATTTCAAAAGATGTGATAAAATTTGATTGTAAATCAAATAACAAAAACATAAAAATTAATAAATAAATGATATTCTTCTAGATCAAAGGTTTTTGCAGTAACATTCTTACTTTGATTTTATTTATGTTAACCGAAAACTAATTTTATCCACCACAATTAAATATTTTATTTTCTATAGATTTATAAAAGATTAAATCACAAACCCGCGTATATCCAAACAAATAATAAAATATGTATAACATGATATTTCTGAAATAGATTACAAACAAAGTAAGAGTATGATTAATTAGGGGGAAAAACTTATGTTTTTTAGTGTCACTTGAAGCCGGTAATTTGTTATTTAAAATCCGGTTTATAATTCCGGTTTGGCAGGGCGATAAGTGTGATAAATCTCCAAGTATCAACGTGCTGCGTCTACGTGCCTCTAGACCTAGGACCGTCGTTCGAAATGGATCTGAAGAAACTCCAGTGCTCGTCGTACTCCGGCTTCTACAATCTTGGTCCGGCCCAAGAATCTCACCCGGAGAACTGGAACTATGGAATCGCACTCAAGTACAAGTTCAACGTCTTCGATGAGTATCCTGTCGTGTGCGGTGGCTGCGAGCGTAGCAACGGTGCTTGTGGCTACAATACTCAGACAAGCTCGTTCGTTTGCAACTGTCCCGGTGGGATCAATACGACGTCGGATTGCTTTTTCCTTTATAACTCTGCTTCTATTCTTGTTCCTTGGCTCTCAAGTAAGCACAATATCGAGCACTAAGATAATCTCAACTATAACTTCTTTCTTCTCATTCGAATTTTCAGACAAAAGATTCTACATTTTTGTATTTAACAATATATTGTTGTTATATAATGTTTTTTTTTCTTTTAAATCAGGAACATGGGTAATGTACCCTTTGTCATGGGTTGTTGTTTGGAAGGTGATTAGTCTGCGTTAAAGGGTTTCGCATTAATCAATTCAATTGGGGAGCATCAAAGGATTGAATGGTTCGAAGAGAAAGCTTAACAGATCGAATATTTGCTTCTTCTTTTTTTTTCTATGACCTTGTGATATCAATGGTATAAGATTCTCTATTGGTTATCTCTTTGCCATATTATTTAAGTCCTTTTATCTTAATTATATGCTTTTTCTCCACTTTCCACCTCATAAGGAATCAAGTTACTATATAATCACTTGCAAAGAATGATAATGATAACTAGGCCTAACGATGATGATGGTCTTAGTCAACTCGCAGAGATTATACTTGTATTTTCCTGAAACTGAAAATCATAATTACTTTCATCTGGATTACAAATACAATGTAATAGAAGTTTGCCGTTTGTTAAAGGTTCTCGCGTAAGTCAATTCAATTGGGGAGATGTAGTGATTTTTTAGAGAAAGCTTAAAGACAGACTAAAGTGAATGTTTAAAACGTATTAAGCATATTAATAATGAATGTTTTACCGAAATGGCAGATGGCATTTTCCCCCTCCCAGCTTAGATGTTTCTTTCAGATTAATAATGAATGTTTCTTTCAGATTATCCACTTAACGACTTAGTAAGCATATCCCCCCACACACAAAAAAAAAAGACTAACTTGTATTGAAATATCTAATTTCGAAAAAGAGTAGTAAATATAGATTTACATAACGATTTAAATTGTTTTTTTTTTTTTGATAAAGACGATTTAAACTGTTATGAACCCGGTTTACTATTGGTTTATAGCTAAAATGGGTACGGTCGAGTAGTATATAAATAGGAGAAGAGAAACCATCGTTAGGGTTTAGGGTTTACAATATCGGCTAGAGATGAACATCTGCCGCATTCTGGTTAGGGCTTCCGGCTCTCATCATCTCTGGAAGAGAGCCTATACAACGGTCGGTTCTCCGGCTCCGATGACGGCGAATAAGATGTTCGACGGCATAAAGAATCTCACTGCTGGTTCTTACTTAGACCTCATTAGTAGGGACCAACGGAACAATGGTTACTATTTGAGTGAGGCGGATCTCGTCGGCTGCGCAAACTTGCTTTGCAACGACGGGAAAGATGAGATAGCCCTCGAGGTAGATCTTATCGGAAGAGAGTATATATTCATCAAAGGTGGTTTTTTTTTTGCTTCTAATAATAATGAATGTTTCCTTTGTAGATCTACGAGTGGATGGAGAAAAGGAAAATGACATTTTCTCCATCCGAGTTTGCACAATTTAATTTGTGGATCTTATGGGTAAGATTAGAGGACATGTAGCTGCTAACGACTTGTTCCAGAGAGTAGAACCAAACTTCGAGAAGATGAACCCTGGTGATTTGAAGAACTGGCCTGCTAACAGGAAGCTCTTGGAGTTGATGAAGCAGAAGAGCATGGAAAACTTTTGTGCAAGACTTCAATTCCATACAATGATGTTGGAAAAAGCTAGTCCAATAACACTTGCATACCCTAAAGAGAACTTGGAAGACGATGATCTAAAGACAAGGACACTTGAACATATGGAATCTGAAGAGAACTTGGAAAAAGATGGTCCAGTCCCGTAGAATTTCGATACGATGACGAGTACTCGGAAGACGAAGGTCCAAAGACAATGACACTTGAACAACATATCGAATATGAAGATAACTTGGAAGAGGATGGTCCAATGACAAACTTGAACATTCAGACTCTGAAGACGCTATGGAAAATATCGTGCAAGGACAATGGAATGGAGTAGAAAAGCTTGTCCAAGGACAATGGAATGGAGGAGAGAACACGATGGAAAAGCACACGAGTACTCTTGAATGGAATGGACGCTTGAAGTGGAATGACGGTAAGTTGTTTGGTTGGTGTGTCTTAATGAATAAAGCACTTGCTTTTAGATTACTCTTTGCCTTGTCGAAAACAGGATAATTAATTATTGATCTTTGGTTTTTTTTAATAAAATATCTTCTTAGTTGGTTTTTTAATAAAGTCTCTCCTCTAGTTGTTGTATCTCTCTTTGTCTACTGATTATTCTCATACTAGTAAACTTTCACGATGCTGAAAACGTTGGAAAGTATGACCCAAGAGGAATCCATTGAAATTGAAACCATGAAAAAAGGCTACTTAACACTTACAATCGGTCTTTTTTTGGTTAAAAATTGTAAATACTTCTCTTAAATAATAAACTAGTGACAAATTCCGAGGCCCGGCCCATTAAGCTAATAATGCCCAGGACGTGGAAGCAATTTATGGTCGAGTGAGTCCCACGCGCTTCCGGTTTCCCGGAGTCAAGAAGGCACCCAAATTTGCCGCCTTCTCCTTCGCCAAAATTCAATCCTGCAACAAGAATCATTCATCATTCTCATCGTCAAAATTTTCTGGGATTTTTCAAAATCAGTTTTGCTTTTCTGGATTTGGATCGCGAAAAATGGAAGGCAGAGCAAGAGGATCAACGTCGTCGAGCATCGGCAATTCCGCAGAACTCGAAACGAATGTGACACTAAGTGATCGTCTTAAGGTTTTCAAGGTCTCCAGTTTCGATCCCGAAGCTTACGTCACCTCCAAATGCCACCACATGAACGAAAAGGTTTTCCTCTTCTTCTCTTCTCAAGGATTCTCATTAAATCGTCGTAGATTGTGATTTTTTTATAGGTAATTTTGTACACAGTTAAGATCATATTTGGGTCCTGTGTTGAGGTAAGATCTCATCTAATTGTGTTTCTGATGCTGAATCGAATTTTTATTTCGTAATGATTTGGTGGCTTCATTGTATGATGATTGTTCAGTGTGTGTGTGTTGCGTTTGCTAAATCTGTAGTTAACTTAGCCCTCCAAGTGTTTGTGAAAATGTTAGAATCATGAGATTTGATAAGTGTGTTTTTGATTACAGGAGACGAGACATTTGACTTCTTACCTCGTTGAATTGAAGAAAGCTTCTGCAGAAGAGATGCGTAAGAGCGTCTATGCAAACTATGCCGCCTTTATACGGTGTGTTAAATCATATCGTTTGTTCGAGAATAGACACGGTTTTGTTGGTTGCTAATTAGATTCAAGCAAGTTGTTGATTTGCAGGACATCTAAGGAGATATCAGCTCTTGAAGGACAGCTTCTTTCCATGAGAAACCTTCTCTCTGCTCAAGCAGCTCTTGTTCACGGCTTAGCTGATGGCGTTCACATTAGTTCGTTATGCGCTGATGACGCTGATGACTTAAGAGACGAAGACTTATATGATATGGATAACAAACAGCTCTCGAAAATTGAGAATTGGGTTGTGGAGTTTTTTGATAGACTTGAAGTTCTCTTAGCTGAGAAGAGAGTTGAGGAATCCATGGCTGCGTTAGAAGAAGGCCGTCGTGTGGCCATAGAAGCACACGAGAAACGAACACTCAGCCCAAACACTCTTGTTTCTCTGAACAATGCAATCAAAGAAAAAAGACAGGAGTTGGCTGACCAATTGGCAGAAGCTATAAGCCAACCTTCTACAAGAGCAGGCGAACTTAGATCAGCCGTATTGGCTCTCAAGAAACTCGGCGATGGTTCTCGCGCCCACACATTGCTTCTTAGGTCTTATGAGCGGAGGCTACAAGCCAACATTCAAAGCCTAAGAGCTTCCAACACTTCCTACGGGGTAGCATTTGCAGCTGCGCTCTCTCAGCTTGTTTTCTCAACGATTGCTCAAGCTGCGAGCGACTCTCAAGCAGTTGTTGGTGAGGATCCGGCTTATTCATCAGAGCTTGTGACATGGGCGGTTAAACAAGCAGAGTCATTTGCTCTTTTGCTTAAAAGACATACTTTGGCTTCATCTGCTGCTGCAGGAAGCTTAAGGGTAACCGCAGAGTGCATCCAACTCTGTGCATCCCACTGCTCTTCATTAGAGTCTCGCGGCTTAGCTCTTTCCCCTGTTTTGTTGAAACACTTTAGGCCGGGCGTGGAGCAAGCACTAACTGGAAATCTCAAGAGAATTGAACAAAGCAGTGCTGCTTTGGCTGCTTCAGATGATTGGTCACTCTCTTATACACCAACTGGATCACGCTCCTCATCCAGTACTCCCATTGCACCGCATCTTAAGCTCTCTATAAGCGCTCAAAGATTCAACTCCATGGTTCAGGTAATCAACATTTTTTCACCACTCGCATTCATGATTTCTTCTTGCTAAAAGTTTAACTTTCTGTGTGGATTTAGGAATTTCTGGAGGATGCTGGACCGCTAGACGAAGCATTACAGTTAGACGGGGTTGCACTAGACGGTGTTTTGCAAGTTTTTAACTCATACGTGGATCTATTGATCAACGCATTGCCCGGTTCAGCTGAGAATGAAGAGAATCCAGTTCATAGAATAGTTAAAGTAGCTGAAACTGAGTCTCAACAAACAGCTTTGTTAGTCAATGCACTTCTATTAGCAGACGAGTTAATCCCGCGTTCTGCTTCAAGGATTTTGCCACAAGGTACAAACCAATCCACTCCAAGAAGAGGTTCTTCGGATAGACAGAACCGACCAGAGCAGAGAGAATGGAAGAGGAAGCTTCAAAGATCCGTTGATCGATTAAGAGATAGCTTCTGTAGACAACATGCTCTTGAACTCATCTTCACTGAAGAAGGAGAAGTTCGTCTCAGCTCTGAGATTTATTTACTCATGGACGAAACCACTGAAGAGCCCGAATGGTTTCCTTCCCCGATTTTCCAGGTAAAAAAAACATTTGAAGTTTAGAGAATTGAAACATAGAGACATAGAGTTGAGATATAAACTAAATGCTCTGCTTTTTTTTTTCAGGAACTGTTTGCAAAATTGACGAGAATAGCTACAATTGCTAGCGATATGTTTGTCGGTAGAGAGAGATTCGCGACGATATTGCTGATGAGACTGACGGAGACAGTGATTCTATGGATCTCTGATGATCAGAGTTTCTGGGAAGAGATGGAGACAGGAGCTAAACCATTAGGTCCACTTGGTCTTCAACAGTTTTATCTAGACATGGAGTTTGTGATGATCTTTGCCTCACAAGGAAGGTACTTGTCGAGAAACCTTCACCAAGTGATCAAGAACATTATAGCTCGAGCCATCGAAGCAGTTTCAGCCACTGGACTCGACCCTTATAGGTACGCATTAATATAAGTTTCAACATAAACATGTTTGTAATTGT